TAGGTGTCTGCCTTCGGCTCAGGTCGTGATCCCGGGGTCCTGGGATCAAGCCCCACATCAGGCTCCCTGCTCAGCGGGGAGCCTGCTTCTCCCTCTCCCACTCCCCCTGCTTGTGTTCCCTCTCTCGCTGTGTCTCTCTCTCTATCTGTCAAAGAAATAAATAAAATCTTCAAAAAAATAAAAATTAAAAAATAAAGGACACAGCTGACCTATCCATTCCTGCATTTATAAGCTCTCCCAAGTCTTCATTTCCTTATCCCACAAATAGTTACTCACCAACCACTAGATGCAAGCACTGATTTGGGAACTGGCAATACAGCAGGGAGCAAAACAATGTTCTGCCCTCATGAACCTTCTAGTCTGGAATAAGGCCAAATGCCTGAGTGTGGGGAGCGGGCAGCGCCCCCTGCGAAACTCATGCCTGCCTCCCAGCCTCATGGCCCTCGAGCCATATCACATCAATTTCAGTGCCTAAAACGTGCTGTTCAGTTCCGCACTCCCTGCCTTTGCCCAGGCTCTCTTGGGAATGCCTCCCTCCCCACCACCATACCCTATTTGCAGACGCCACCACCACCCCCCCCACAGGCACACACAATCACTTATTCTGAGGTAATTTAGAGGCTCCTATGGAAAGTGCTGATCTCCGGAATGACCTGGGTTCAAATCTCAGCCCGACACATGCTGTGTGTGACCTCTGTCAAGTTATCTCACTGTCCCGCGCTTCAAATCTTCATCTTAAAATGGAAATAATTATAGTACCTCCATATGGGTTGGTTGTGAGAACTAAGTTAGCCAATCCATAAAAAGACACTTTAGGTGCCTGACACATATAAGCCTTTAATAAATGTTTTTATTACTTTCATCTTCAGTATTATGGTGATACCTCGCATCACACTATTCTGTAATAATTCTTCCTTCTAAACACATCTTACTGTCTTTGTAACCCAATGAACTTTGTCAGGCACACAGTAGGCACTTAATAAATATTGAAGGAAGGATAAAAGGACTGGCAGCTCCAGGTGTGTGGCTTGGTTTCCTGTGACCAAATTGGACTATGAAGGAATAAAAGCACATCTAAGACTTCTTGTGACTATCTTCTTGACCGAGTACCTAAGTGTGTGTACACTGTTGGCATTGCGTGAGCAAGAGCTGGGGAGGAGTGACCAAGAAAAGGGCCTTGAGCCGGGCTGACCTGAATGAGAACTGAGCTATTTCATTTCTTTATTCATTGACTCTTGGGTTGAGAAAGGACCAACTACCCTAAAGTCGCCATTACCTTCAGTTCCCATGCCTCAGCCCCCACTTCATACTTTCCATTTGCTTCCTTCCCACTACTCTGTTCCCCTCAAAAATGTATAAACTGAAACTCAGAAAGCAAAAGGAGTGCCGAGGGAAAAGGGGAAGGGGTGGAGAAGGGTTAGCACCTCCCTCCTTCCTTTGCTGAGATCAAAGCCAGCGTTTTGACTGGAAGGCCAGCTGGCCTCTTTCATCCCTGCTCCACCTGTCTGGGAATGGGATTGCTGCTTGCCCATTTCCTTTCCTCTTCAGGGCTGCAGGGCAGTTTCAGGGTGGGGCCTCAAGCTATTTCTAGTGCTGGCCAAATCCCTCCACCCCAATATCTCCTTTGCCTTATGTGATCAGATTTCCTTTCCACCTCTCCAGTAACAAGTGTTAGGAGCATAGGGCAGGAAACTGTGAGAGAAGTTCAGTTTCTCCACAGGCCCTAGGCGGAGCTAATGGTTTGGGCAAGTAGAGAGGACACTGGGGCTGCTGGGCTTTTGTCTGGCAGGAGGAACAGGTTCTTCTTTCTGCATAGCCACCCCAAGTACTTGACCCAACATCCCCCAGGGTATGGGTGAGGCACCAGTTAGGCAAGGGCCTCTTGCCTCGGGAGAAGGGAATTCACATTTGCCAAAGTCCTACTACGTTCTGGGCCCTTGCTAGGCCCTTTTGTTTGTACTATCTCAGAGGTTTCTAGCAGCCCTGCCAGGTCAGCATTTATTATCACCCCTCTGGTAGCAATGACAAAAGAGAGATTGAGCAGCTCGCCTGAGGCACATGACGAAATCCCGATAGAACATCCAGCTCTGTCTGACTCTAAAGACAGTGCTCTTTCCACCTCATGATGCTGCCTCAAGAGGCCCGAAAAGCTGTTAATGCTCTAAGTTGGCTCTTTGCGTTATTCCCCAGAATTCAGTGACCAGCCAGCTAAATCTTTCGTGAATGAATTTCATTCAACATATCTTTAAAATAAAGGTTTAAGGAGACCCTTTGATGACTTGAGTTTAATTCTACAAAGAATGTGACAGAAGTTTCTGCCTCTGCAGAGTTCATAGTCTAGTAGAAAAAGAGTTAACAAGTGCCAAAATAAAAGCATAATATAACACAGAAACAGAGAAACACCATGAGAGAGACAGAGGAGGGAAGAGGGCAACACCCCTTTGCCTTAGATGTAAGCCTCTGCCTTCTGGGTGCCTGTCACCTCCCTCAGCCCTGAACAGAGCCTCCTAAGGCTGGGACTGGGCAGCTGCCATGTCGAACTGGATCACAGAACAGGGACTTTCTTAAATCACCTGTGTCCCCTCGCCTAAGAATAGTGCAAATAAGCAGGACCTGGGAATACTTTCATTGGCAAAGGTGGAGAGATGTTTAGGAACCCAGTCTTGGTTATTACTTGCAGCCAGCCTGCCTCAGCAAAGAATGGGTTATTCGTGGGTTAGTCAAAGCCAGGTGCTAATGCAGCCAGATCAAGAGGCTCAATCCCGGGGAAACTGGGTTCTGTTACATAGGAGTCAGTTCTGGCCGCAGATGACCATCTTGCAACCGCGTGCTCTTGGTCAAAGAAGGAACTAAAAAGCAGGAGAGTATGCGTCACCACATTGTAGGCATTCACAACGCAGACATATTGTTTCAAACACTCGGCCCTAAACAGACAGCTCACAGCTTGTCTTGCTGACAGAGGATCAGCAGTAATCCTCTGCCTTCATAGATGGAGGCAGAACATTCTCTCCTCCTGTATCTCAGTGAGGCAGCCTGCCTCTGATTTTTATAGCACCTTGATGCTAGGGGTTTGGGTCCTCTCCCAGAGTGGCTACTTCATTGCAGCTGCCTTTCTTCTGTTGCTCTCTCTAAACCCATCTTTTCATACCTGTGAAATGAGTGTACTACTTGAGGTCCACCCTCTGGAGGAAAAGAGGTCGCCTAAGGAGAGAGGGCAACACCTGTTTGAAGCCTTCTCTTCCAGAGCCAAGCCCACGAGATCCTTGAACTTGGACTGAGGGGCCCTCCTTAACTAAAAATACAAACCCCTCGGATTTCTTTGATCATATTGGGGGGTTAGTTTCTGGATGTATCCCCCAGGTAACCCCTCTTGTCTCTTCCATATATGGGTTTGGTGAAGATGATTTCCACTCAAGGCTTCTTCTATCTCCAGAACTCAGGGCCTCAGGCATCAGAGAGTAATGATTCCAGCAGGAAGGAACAAGGCCCCTCTTTCCTTTCAATGTCAGTCCATAAAAAAAAAAGCATTATAATAAGCATTGGGACAGTCTTGGGCATTTTCCTTTTAACTAAATGTGCAGAGTTTTCCATCATGGATGTGCAAAAGCCATCTACCCATCAAATTACTCCCATGGACTCCACAAAGGTGCTGTTAGAACCCTTAGAGATCGTTCCACAGCCTCTCCCATAGTGCCGGATAAACACCCAGACTCTTAACAAGGATAATTCGGTGGCAGTGGCGATAACCCTGGGCTTCTCTGAATGACATCAAATTCAGGACACATACCCAGATCCCTTTTTTCATGCGCTCTCTACCATTTTTCCCATGGAATTTGAATCCCCCTGTTTTACTTACTGCCTAACAATATCACTATTGAAAGCACATAATGTTAAGGACCATATGCTCTCTCTCCAGAGAGTATGCACAAATACTATTTCTGTTAAAAACTAAACAGAAATAGTAGTTTTGCATACTTCCCATTCAAGGACTTATCCCAATTGAATGATTCCCTTTGTCGTGGACTGTTTTTCCCCAAGCGGGCCCTAATAGAGAAGCTGAATCAGATATTGTGACTTACCAGTGGGTCACAAGGAATCATCTAGTGAGCTAGAAATAGAATCCAGAAACCTTTATTTTGATTCCCTGAATTTAAAAAACAAATAAACTCTACTACAGAGAAAGAAAAACTGGAGAAACTAGGCTTGCTTGACATTCCTGGGTCAGGGAATTCAGGGCAACCAAAACTAACGGGCAACTGCCATAGTCTGTGAGGCTCGAGGAGGTGAGTAAGACCTAGGTGCTGCCTGCCCTCAAGTTGCTGACAACCCAGTGCAGGGAGATCAGGTCACTGTTGAAAAATCTCTATCCAGTGCAGCATGTGCTTATGAAGACCTAGTGGATCCCAGAGGAGGTCTTGCCCATCTTCATAGTGCCCCCAGCAGCAAGCACTATTTGTTGAACAAAGGCCAAAAAAAAAAAAAAAAAGAGGTACCAACAGAACACTCTGGGGGTTGGTGGAAAATAAGGGACAGCTTTGTGAAGGAGGTGACATTTGAGCTGTGCCTGGAAGGATGGGGAGGTTTTTCGCAGGCAGCAGGAATCAAGGGGAGGGCCTTTGCAGCCCAAACAAAGAGCAGTGGCCAAGATCCTAAGGGGGGGACAAAGCATGGTGTGATTTGGGAGAGCCCAGAGCAGGCCAGTGTGGCTAGACAAGAGGGGGTAGTAAGAACTAAGGCTGGAGAGAAAAGTTGAGACCTGAGCATAGAGAACCTTGAACAACGAGCTAAATAATTTAGCAGTGAACTGTCACTGGAGGTTTTGAACGAGAGGAATGATACCACCAAGACAGGGCTTCCCGCTGCATCATCCTTCCCACCTGGGCCTCCCCTGCCTTGTCAATAGTGGTGGTTTTTTTTTTTATTGTTCTGTGTGTATGTGGTTTGGTTTGGAGGTTTTCTGTGGTTTAGTTTGTTTTTTGGCCTTTCCCTTTTCCTTACAGTTTTTCACAGCATATGGTCCTGATTATGTGTTGGAAATCACGCCAAGCTGCCGGCCAGACCGCAATGAGCCCCACCGAGTCCAGCAAATCCTCAACTACATCAAAGGTGAGCACCACCCCTCAAGCCCCGCCCTCCTCATTCCACCCAGCTTGTGGTGGCCCATCAGTGGGGGCTTCCCCAAATACCATTTGTCTTTTGGTGGCTAAGCTTTTCACTGACTTAGAAGGGAAACATCTTCTTGGCCTGATAGCTTGTAGTTGGAATTCCATACTGGCCACTCTGACTGGAATTGTCATTTGGCCAGCTAATGTCACCTTCAGGGGGACAAAAGGTTTATCTTTAGGTACCTCCAGTGAAAAACCAGTTCTGAAGTGTGCCCTGGAACCCTTTTTCTTTTAAAAGAACAATAGTAAAACCCTCTTTAAGATGAGGGAAGTTCAAGCCGCTTCAGACTTAGGGTAGGGGGGAGGAGGGGCTCACAGACGTTGTGTCCCAGTGTAGTTCCTAGGTCCAATATGGCCTTGAGAGACTGCAGGCCTACAATGGATAGTCAGGATTCTGGTGCCCTGAGAGTGGACTCCCCAGTCTTACCCAGAGCACTGGAGACGGACCTGCTGCCCTATCCTGCCCTTCCCTCTGGCTGGCCTGCAACTATTCTGGCTTCTGGCCGGAAGGAAAATGGCAGTCATCAGGTTATTCTCGTCTTGAGCACACTGTCCACTAGCTGTTTGGGGATGCTGCCCTTAGCTTTCCAGTAGCCCCTCTGCAAACCCCAGCTGCCACTCCACAACTCAATTCCCTTTCTCTGCAGTATTGTAAAATCGTTTTGGCACCCGTTTTCCTGTTTACTTGAATTTGCATGTGTGTGTGCATATTTTTGGGATCCTAATTATTGGTAGAGTCAAGAGGCTAAGGGTATCATATTGCCCATCTTGGAGCGTGAAATTCCCATGTTTATTCATATAACGACCAAGACAGCAGCAATTCTCCTACCTTTGACTCCCTCGTTGGAATAGAATCCGGCATGAAAGGGAGGCCTGTTCTGTACCAGAGTTAGTCTGAGGGAACAAGTTGTGTCCTAGGGGGGTCTTTGCTGAGGGTTATGTTAAGGCCCGAAACCCTAGTAGAGCCTGGTGTGTGACAACAGCCAAGTCCTTAGGCAGGGACTCCACATCCCAGGCTCCTTTGGCCAGTGAAAATTTCCTAAGCTCACAAGTCACAGACTTGTAAGGTTATGCTCACAGCAATGCTTATTGCCTCTCTGAGCTGTCCCGTAGCCCTCAGCCTTCTCCTGGCCCTGTAGTTTCAAGCCACCTCCCTCTGGCTTCATAACCCCACAAATCCTCACTTCCTAACCAAATCCTCCTCCCTTGTACAGTCTTTTTTTTTTTTTAAGATTTTATTTATTTATTTGACAGAGAGAGACATAGCAAGAGAGGGAACACAAGCAGGGGGAGTGGGAGAGGGAGAAGCAGGCTTCCCGCCGAGCAGGGAGCCCCACGCGGGGCTCGATCCCAGGACCCCGGGATCGTGACCCAAGCAGAAGGCAGACACTTAACGACTGAGCCACCCAGGCGCCCCCTCCCTTGTACAGTCTTTAAGGCCTCTAAACTCTCTTTCTGTTCCTGGCCCTTTGCCAGTCCTTCTCACTGTGCTGCAGCCCTGATTAACACTGATGCTCCCACCCTAATTTCCTCCTGCCCCTCACAGACCCAGGACACCTTTCCTGTTTCCTCTGGGACTGATCCTAGACCAACCTCTCTTACCCATCTTCCTTCAACCTTGCCATTTTCGCCCCATCCGGGCTCTAAGTCCTGGTAGAGCACAGACAAATAGAAACAGAGAAACTAAACAAGCCTCTGCAGCTTCTTGCTCACACCTACGTGTATGCAGATATCTGTATGCCCTCATGCTTTCCTGCACACGTACCCAGACACATATCTCCAGAGTGGTGACATCTTACTGTTGAGGAAATGGAAATGACAAGCGAGAGAAGACGTAAGGAAGGTAATTCAAAGGAGAGAGAACTAGGAAAGGTAAAAAACTCAAAAGAGGAATACATTTTTAAAAGACATGAGATAAGGGGCACCTGGGTGGCTCAGTCCGTTAAGCATCTGCCTTCGGCTCAGGTCATGATCCCAGGGTGCTGGGATCGAGCCCTGCATCGGGCTCCCTGCTCAGCAGGAAGCCTGCTTCTCCCTCTGCCTCTGCCCCTCCACCCTGCTCATGCTCTCTGTCACTCTCTCTCTCAAATAAATAAATAAAATCTTAAAAAAAAAAAAGACCTGAGATAAAAGATTAGTTTGAGGGTTGGGGAAAAAAAAAATAGAAAATCTTAGCGGACATGTAAGTTACATGTAAGTCAAGATTTTTAAAAGATCCTAACAGGTTAAAGCAATATTCTGATTGTAGCACAATGACATTAAACTGAGAGAAAATGTATGGACCAGGAATTGGATCCTCAGAAGCAACTGGACCACACACAAGATGGGAAGATGCGGCTCAGCAGCATTTTGTCTGAAAGAGCTAGGGATTTTAGTCAGTGTGGACCTCATTGTGAGTCTCCAGGACAAGTTGGCCTCCAGAGATGCTGATGCAGGATCAACCTCACTTTAAAAGGGTTCTAGGCAAATAAGAGCATGTTACTGGTCAGTCAGGATGGGGAAAGGACTATAGACCAGGCTCCAAGAGGTCTGGTTGGAGGAGCTGGGGCTTTTGGAGAAGAGAAGACCCAGGGGGACGTGGTCTTTACTTCATATCTCCGAGGGGCTGTCACTGAGCAGAGGGTGTAGACGGAGTCTATGTGGTCACAGGGCACAGAGCTAGGACCCATGGGTAAATATTATAAAAAAGGCAAATTTGTATTCAGTAGAAGGAGGAATTTTCTAACATTTTGAGCTATCCAAACGAGCAGGCTGCCCAAAAAGGAATGAGGTCTCTGTTGCTGGAGACATGCAAGTAGAGGCTAGATAGTCACTTGACTGTCGTATCATGGAAGGGCTCCTGCATTGGGGGAGGGCGATTGTGCTAAATTATTGTTAAGGTTCCTTCTAATCCTAAGATCCTAGGATGCTGTATGTTAAAAATGAGAAAATAGAAAAACAATAAAAAGAATAAGATGAGAGTGCAGGGGTTGGTAGATGAGTCACAGTTGTTGGGGCGGGGGTGGGGGGAGGTAATACTGTGTAGAGGAAAGAATTGATGAGAAGAAAAGAAATTAAATGGCTGAGAGTGGGTGGGGAGGAGCCAGGGAGGGCGGACAGCAAGTAGACTGGCTATAGAATACTAGGAATGTTCAGATTTTCCATTTAGCCATCTCTTTCATATTGACAAAGTCTTGTGTTCTAGCCATGCAAATGAGCAGAGCACACAAGTCCAGAACCAAAAAGAAATTCAGCTAAACCAAGAAGAAATGAGGCTAGAAAGAAGTCCAAATGTTGCTAAAAATGGCCAGACTAACCTGCTATACTGAGACCGTGCCCCTCCAGCCTGGTGACGCATGCTGCCATCAGATAGTGCGTTGCCATGACAATGGTCAGTGTGGAAAAGCTGCTGAATTTTCTACATTCTGAAAGATTTCCCTGAACCTGCCTACATGACTTGTCATTTGTTCTTGCATATAAAAACCTCAGCGAGGCTAGCCATTTCTCGCTGCCCTCCTTCCCCCATATTAAAAACAAGGGAGGGGAGAGGCATGGATTGATTTGGGAAAATGGAATGGCAATGATGGAGTGGATGGATTAAGCTCCACTCTATGGGAGGGAGTTTAGCCAGCATGTATCAGTTGAATTTGTTCAGCCTTTGAGCTTAGGTTTCTTTCTCTTTCTCACCACATCCCTCAGAAGCACAAAAGATGGGATTTTTAACCTACTGAAGCTCAAACCTGGGGAGGTTCATCTTACAGAGATACATTCCATGTGCCACAGGTTGACTGGAGGGAAAGGCGAATTTAGACCTCACCTTATCCCATCTTTATTGTCCATTAGTCTTTCCAAGAGGGAAAAGAAAAAAAAGACAAAAATAAAACCTTGGAGAGTCGATTCAAGCTGTTAGCTTTATACAGGAAGAAGCTATGTTTTGCTCTAACAAATTGCTCTTCTCATGCCAGTGAATCTCAAAGATATGTGTCAGTGTTCACAAGGAAGTGTGGATCGCTCAGCCTAGCTCATGCCCATGCTCACTACTGAAAAATCATCCTCACACCATCTTCATGTGCTCAAACTTGTTTGCCTTTCCTCTGGTTGACGTACTCCAGAAGAGTTGGCTCACACTGAACCTTCCAGAGTTGGAACGGTGCTGATGTGATCAATCCCCAGAGGTGGCTAGCTCCCCAAGCCTGCCTGGCTCTGTGTGAGGAAACGGGTAAAGTTTTTCTAGTCCCTAGTACTGATGACATTTGAATGGAGTAAAGCTCCCTAGGGGTCCAAAAGCTTCTTGTTGCAACCCAGACCCAACCTTCTGTGGCTGAGTGCAGAGGGAGAGTGAGTTGTGCATGCACGAGTACGTGTTGGCATTGTAATTGGAGGTTACAACTCACTTGCTGTGCGTTCCTAGACTGTACCCCAAGTTTGCCTGGAATAGAAAAGGAGACAAATAGGGCCAGGAGGTAAGAAGGAGGAGGAGGGGGAAGACACAAGAGGGAAGAAAAGGCCTTGTGCACATCTGCCTTTTCTGACCCTTAATGAAGGAGGCTGAGTTGGCATCTCATACAGTGCAGGGTTGGGGAGATGGACCCGCCAACTGATGTGGGTATAGGGGAGAGACAACACAGGTGAAATAATAAGAACAATAGCTACTATTTACTTTACAGATGAGGAAACTGAGGCTCAGAGAGGATAAGTGACTTGGCCAAGGTCACATTTGTTCATTCATTCAGCAAGCAATTACTAAGCACCTGCTATGTGCCACACGCTGTGCTAATAGGTGGTAGAGCACACACTTGAACCCTGGTCTTTTTGAATCAGGGCTTTGGAGTCAGGCTGTTTGTCCTTTCTCGTGCCCCTCTTCTCTTTGCAGTGTTGCCCTGCCAAGTCTATTCGTCATACCTCGTTCTTTCCAATCTCATTTTTTTTTTAAACCCCTCTGCTTTTTCCAGTCGCCCCTGG